TCATGACAGTATTATTCAGTACACATCAATTAGGGCGTTCGCACAAGAAAAGACGGAGCAGTGTACAGGATGTGTTTCAAATGAGTAAGAAAAGGAAAGAGCGATATTCCTGTCTTTTTCTATCTTATTTGAAACACATCCTGTACACTGCTCCGTCTTTTCTTGTGCGAGCAGCCTTAGCGGTGTTAAGAAAGTATCATAAATGGTGGGGGTAAATGAGAGAGGTGGGGATAAGGTTATAAAAAGAGCAGCTGTTGGAGGTTTGAGTCATTCCTCTTTTACAGATACCATGGCGTACGTCGTAGATATCCAGTGCTTTAAAAGAGCCAACCCAAGTAGCACGATATATCAACCAGATGTCACGGTGATATCACCGGGGAATCTCACCGTGACATCAGGAAAATGTCAAAATGTCCGCCTTATGGTGATATCACACGGTGACATCGAGGTGATATCATGGTGACATCAAGGTGATATCACAGTCATATCACGGTGATATCATATATTATTAGAAAAATAATGAAATTTTAACTTAATTCTTTTTATTTCGTTTTCCAATTTTCATAAAGAAGCATTTTTGAAAATATATATCTATCATTCTAAGGTCTAAATTTATCAAATTTTCCATCGACGCTTCTTATTGGTATTTTATAACATGGTATTTTAATAATAAAATAAAACTAATTTAAAAGTATATATTTACTAACCATTTTGCTATAGTTTCTTGTTTTTTTAACTAAAAAGTATATTTAATGTTAAATATTATTAAAAATTTTTAATCCCTGTAAAATATCAACATGATATCATGGTGATAACATCATGATATCACCGTGATATCACCTCGATGTCACCGTGTGATATCACCGTAAGGCGGACATTTTAACATTTTCCTGATGTCACGGTGACATTCCCCGGTGATATCACCGTGACATCTGGTTGATATATCGTGCTACTTGGGAACAAAGAGTTTTTTGTCAAGGAGCTAGCCATCCTGACTCTCCAAGAAGATGCTCATCCATTGGTCTTCCTATTCGAGCCACCATATGCCTGGAGAAAATTACCTTCAAGGTACATGTGTGAGAACCGATGGCTTACGAATAATTATCATGGTATTTATTGCACTGATGGTGACATACCTTATGAAGATTTACTAACAAAATTAATAGAAATATTAGTAGGTACACCTATAGTTTATGTTGATGGATTAGAAAAACGAAGATGGTTAGAAAACTATACTCTGAATAATGATGTCACTATACAACTGCGTAATATGTTAATTGGAGTAATGCGCATGCGTGAAAAATAAGAGTGGGGTATAAGTAAAAGTAGCTTTATCTAATTTACTCATTATTATTATTGTTTAATTTATTTGTTAACATTTATTAATAATAATGTAAGCTTACAAGAAGCTTACAGTAAGGTTATGGTACGCTTAACTGTAAGCTGAGTACAATCTTACACTGCAGCTTACGATAGGGAGAACATTTGCAGCGCACCTTAACCTCACCTGAAGTTTACGCTTTAAGCTAACGAAGCTTAGGTTTAATCTCAAGGGAAGCTTACAGCAAGAAATTGTGCTGTGTGGGCAGTGTCAGTACCATGGAAATGGTAAGAGTAGGAGTGGGGGAAAAGTTTAATGCGCAAACATAGCATATGAGTAGGAGTAAAAGGTCTGATTACCGACTGTATGTAAAACTGTATTACCGACAGTTGGTAATCCTACCTTACCGACTGTTTCGCGGCATCGCTTCACTCATCGGTTTACAATGTTAATGTTCATCTTTAGACCAATAATCTAAAGTCTAGACTTTCACTGATTACACAGCCCCACAAAAAAAAAGTGTAATGTACTTTTGACCGGAATACCCTAACCCTATGTATTTTGACGCGCTGAACACGAATCCGAAGTCCGTTTTGATCCATTACGTCTGGATTTTTTTCTAACCTCAAAAAACATGTCGGATTTTGAGAAGTAGGCGATTTTTTTAAAAATTTATGTATTAACTTCAAACTTGGTATCTGGGGGTTTTTTGTGTCGCTGCGATTACGAATCTGAAGTTAGATTTTCAAAATCCAAAATGGCGGATCCAATATGGCGGACGAATTTTGAAAAAATTTTAAGATTTACTTCAAACTTGGTATCTAGGGGTTTTTTGGGTCGCTGATTACGAATCTGATGTCAGATTTCCGAAATTCGACATGTCTGATTCAATATTAAGGAATTATTTTTAAAAAATTGTCAGATTATTATGAAATTTGGTATCTACAGGTTTTCTAAGTTGCTGACAAGTAACACTAGGGAAGTGCCATACGCCGATTTTTCTGAAACTTGGCAGTTTTGTAGTTTTTTGAAAACAATTTGACACGTATGTTTTGTTTTTCCCCAAAAGCTGATTTATGGGGGGGAAATACCCCTTGAATTTTTTTTTGGTAGGGGGACATTATTTTACGAAATTTTTCAAAAATTAATCTGCAATAGTGTATCTGGGGGTTTTTTGGGTCACTGATTACGAATCTGATGTCAGATTTCAAAAATTCAAAATGGCATATCCAACATGGACTTCTATCGGCCACATTAGATACGCCATTATCAATTTTTGAAAACTGACATCAGATTCGTAATCAGCGACCCAAAAAACCCCTAGATACCAAGTTTGAAGTAAATCTTAAAATTTTTTCAAAATTCGTCCACCATATTGTATCTGCCATTTTTGATTTTGAAAATCTAACTTCAGATTCGTAATCAGCGACAAAAAAAAACCCAGATACCAAGTTTGAAGTTAATACATCAATTTTAAAAAAAATCGCCTACTTCTCAAAATCCGACATGTTTTTTGAGGTTAGAAAAAAATCCTGACGTGAAGGAGCAAAACGGACTTCGGATTCGTGTTCAGCGCGTCAAAATACATAGGGTTAGGGTATTCCGGTCAAAAGTACATTACACTTTTTTGTGGGGCTGTGTTACAGATAGATAAGACAAACTATCAGTATTAGTCTGTTAACTATTAGTCGATCGTTTAAGATTATACCCTACTATACATTTGCAAAAAATTCTACTTTAGACACCACATTGCAGCAGCCATTTTGAAATACAATTCAAGAAATACTGTTACCTTGAAACTTAACTATTCTTATCATAAAAAATTCAATCTAAAATATTACTTTACGATAGTGTCCAAAAAAAATTCATAAATAAAAAAAGAAAACTAAAAAAACTATAAAAAATGGACATTGTAAAATTTTTCTCTTTACCTTTTATCATAAAGAAGAAGAGTCAAACTTCATGAACAATTTTTGTACATTTAGTCCTTAATGTATACGTCTGAACAATAATCTTAATCATAAAGGAGACCGATTTAGTAGGCAATCTGTGTGTAACAAATCCGGATTTAGTCAGGTCAAAATTCTTAATTAAATATCTGTATGTAAAAAATCTGGTATTAGTCCACAACATTTATAATTTTGTAGGGGAGATGTATGAAATGAAGATCATGTAAGCCGCACGTGCCTGAGTTCATTTTTTGACTTGCAAGCCAGAGCTGAGTCCGAGGGACCCAGCTGCTTAAATTCCATAAAAAGCAAGATTTAATAACAGCATATTCAATATTTTTTATTCTAAATTATATGTGTAATATTTTGCAAATATAATTACAAAAAATATTTAATCCTTTGAAACTCTAGGGTACACAAGTAGTCCACAAAAAGTCGCACCGTGACACCTTTTTCGACAGGGCGAATTTGAGTGTACAGTACAAAAAAAGTAATTAATTCAATTTAAGAATTACTGATTGCAAATTTAAAGTCAGTTTTTCAAAATAAAAAATGGCGGACAAATTTTTAAAAATTAACCATATTTGATTGAAAATAGTTACACATGTGTTTTTGGGGTCGCTGATTAAGAATCCGGTGTTCGTTTTTCAAAATTCAAAATAGCGGATCAAATATAGCGGACGAATTTTTAAATAATCGTTCGGATTCGCGTGAAAATCGTTAATCGGGGGTTTTCAGAGTCGCTGATTTCGAATCTGATGTAAGTTTTTCAAAATTTTAAATGTCGGATCCAATATGGCAGGCAGGAAAATTAAAAATCAATACAATTTACTAATATCAGATTCGTAATCAGCGACCTTGAAACCCCCTGAATTACGAGTTCCAAGCAAAACCGTAAAATTTAAAAACATATTCGCCATATTGGTTCCGCCATTTTGAAATTTGAAAACGTAACACCGGATTCGTAATCAGCGACCCCCAGAACCTCCGAGTAACGATTTTCAAGCGAATATAATGAAGTACATGGAAAAAAAGTTGTCTGGGTCCGAGGGACCCAGCTCAGGCAACTACGTACATAAGAGCTGTAAAATAATGTATTAGAAAGAGTTTTACATAAAAAACTTTCTTTTTTTTTTAAATGTACGTTATAGCATCAGCTTATCCAATTTAATAACGATTTTGAAAAAAAAATTCTTAAATAAAAGTAGAAAAAAAGCAAATTGTCTGGGTCCGAGGGAGCCAGCTCAGGCACACAGGGGTTCAAAAAGTATTATTCAGGGCTACAAAATTGCCTAAGAAAGTAGTAATTTTTTTAAAAAATAAAAAATTTACGTCTGATTTTCCGAAAATGATATTTCTGTCTAAAAAATAATTTGACTTGAATGTAAAGTCACATCTAGTAATTGTGAAATGGTTAAAAGAAAGTAAATAACGACGTAATTTTTTAAAAGTTTCTTATTTATTTATTTGTATTGAAGGTATTGAAGAATAAAAAAGTTTAAAAATTTATTAATTTTTGTCAGAATCGACATCTGAGTTGCAATTTCGTCTTGAAAAATTCAAATATCCTCGGAGTTTATTAAAAATTTACAAGTTTATGTGTCTCATGGTTACTAAAAATTTATTGAAATGTTTAGTAGAACCTATTATTATCATTTTATCTTTTTTTCTTACTATATGAAAATGTATAAAGGTGAATATTAAATGTTTTTTTTAATAATATTTCCATAAACATTAAAAAATTCAATTTTATTTTCTACTTTAAATTTTCCACACAACTGTTTACAAAAAATATTGACGAATAAAAATTTTTCTCAACGGCGCACGACAATTTACAGAAATAAATATAGCATAAAAAAAGAAAATTAATAACAAAAAAAAGAAAAATTTATTTTCTTCTTTTATGTAGTCAATTAATTATACATCTTCACAAATTTCTTAGCATAATTTTACAAGAGCTTTCTCAGAATCGGCGGAATTTTTTTCCTCTTGAAAATGTGTTAAACACTCATTCACATATAAATAAATATCATCTTCGGAATTTTCAATTAAACGTGCAAGAGAAGCATAAAGACTTTCAAGCTCTTGACTTGTCCAGTTGTCAGTCAATTGAACTATTCTTTGCATTAGATCATGAATTTGTTGTTCTGTCAATTTTTCCAAACTATGAAGTTTCATCATGTTAGCATGGACTTTTTGACGTTTCGATGTTGAACCTTCACCAGATGCACTATGCTCTCTTTTAACGTTAATTTCTAAAAAAAAGACAAAATTTATTTCATTTTTTTAAAACTTTTTTTTCAACAGCATTATTATGGGATGCATGAATAGTCCCTAAATTAGATTTATCGGAATTTTTGTGTGATGTCGAATTAAAAATTATCGAATTTATATTTAGCAGAACTGTTCTTTTGCAGAATTTCTATTTATCCGAATAATCACTTAAAAGTATTTTTATTAACTGAATTTAATAACAGAATTTCTATACATATAACAAAATTCTTATTTAACGAAACTTTTACCGAAGTTTAACTTATTCAAATTATTTGAATCAAATGACTTTTTTTCAGTGTATCAGATAAACAATCTTTCTTCAGAGCGCGTCACATATGTAAATAAAAATTGTTCATAATATTAAATAAAATGTAATTAACGGATATTTTAGTTAAGAACCTAAAATAGTAAAAGAAGTAGTAAATAAACTTTTATTCAAAAACTGTCTTATTTATTTAAAAACCATCATTGTATTTCAGCAAATTGTTTTCTCGATAAAGCCAGTTTTCTGGAGAATTGTTGCTTTAAAAAACTCTACCAAACTTTAAATATAAATTAGGTTTACGTACAAAAATTTAAGTCACACTTTGATTTGTATTTCTAAAGAAAATAGAAGAAAACTGGCTTCATAAAGAAAATTAATGTTAAAGTTGAAAAATTACAAAAAATTGACAATTTTTGATAATTTTCACAAGTTATCTACTAAAAATTTCAATCATAATATGAAGCCCAGTAAAAAAAAAAGATTTATTGAAAAGCCGTCTGCTCAATACTCCAAACGACATCTGGTCAATTGGACTGGTTATTCAATTTTCTAATGCATTAAGCCCAATTATCCTACTCGTTTTCTGGGGCGAAAAAAGGACAAGACGACTTAGCATACAGAGAACTTAAAAAAATTGATAAGAATGGATAAAAGTATTGGTCATTTAATTAGAAAAGTACCTGTAATTCTACAGGAGTAAATGTAATCTTCTTTACCGACTCTTGATATTTACCAGTTGAAAATTTATATTTTTGAAGATGGAAACAGATAATTAATATAAAAAGAAATATAATAACAATAATTATATCAAAATATTCAATTTGTTTTCTTCTTTAAAAATAAAAATTTTCATCTGATGATGAATATAATAAGAGTCGATATAATGAGATTATTTTTTGTTCACAAAATCAGATGTACAGTATTGCACTGAAAGCAGAAAAGTAATATTTCATAAACTTTCTCGTTTTAGTTAATTACAGATCCTACTTTTATACTTAATTAACAAATATTTATTTATCATCATTCATTTTTTAAAGTTTTCTTTAAGATAAAGTTGTATTTTTCTTTTATTAGCTGCAGAAAAAGTGTATGATTTTTTTCCTAAAAATACAATTATAGATAAAAAGACTGTTTTTAACTTTAAACTGAAAAAAAAAATTTTTTTAACAAAGTTTTGAGGTGTTTAAGAAATTTAATATAGAGATAGGCTACAATGGATCATATTAATTTTCTGGAGAATTGTTGCTTTAAAAAACTCTACCAAACTTTAAATATAAATTAGGTTTACGTACAAAAATTTAAGTCACACTTTGATTTGTATTTCTAAAGAAAATAGAAGAAAACTGGCTTTTTTTATGAAAAAGTGCCAGACAAAGACACACAACAAATACTGATTTTTTAAACAATGTTTTAAGAATTCTGTTAAATATAAATTCGATCAAATAAAAATTCGGCTAGCAAATGAATTCTATCTAATATTCTTCTGGTAAAATAAAAATTCTTTTAAATCGACTATTTTTGTATAATGAAAATTCGAGCAAATAATAATTATGAAAAATTTAAATTCGATGAAATAAAAAGTCTGTAAAATAAACATTTGTTTAAGTAACAATTTTCTATTATAGAAATTCTGTTAAACTTTTCTATTGGTAAATCCCACTTGGAAAGATTCCCCGGAAAGTTCCCCTTGGAGGTTCTATCAGAATTCCATCGTTGGAAGTTGGAAGTTCCGGCGGAATTCTGATAAAACCTCCAGGGGTCACTTTCCGGGGAATCTTTCCAAGTGGGATAATAATTCGAAGAAATAAAAATTCAGCTAAAAGTAAATTCAAGATGATGAAATTCTGTCAAATGTTAGGCTTCACAGATAAAATTTTCTAAAAAAAAGGGGAATAGGGAAAATTTTGTTTGACAAAAAGAAAAAAATAAAGTAAAATCTAAATGAATATTTCCCTTAACCAAAATGCTTTAAAGTTTTTTTTAAATTACACTACCTGTGAAAATTTTGAGACCACCCATTTTCTTGATGAATAAACATCTTAAAACATAAAAAGTATAAAAACCAAAATTTTTTTTCCAAATTTTTTTAAAAGATAATTAGAGAAAAGTGAGATTTAAAGGAGAGACTTTCCCTGTATAGAAATTAATTTTTTTTTTAAATGTCATTTTCAATGTTTTATAAAAATGTGAATTGCATAGGTACATCTAGGGTAAGTGTACTAATTACGGCGCGTTCATAAAAAATAACTATTATTACTATTATATTTAATACAACTGTTGCAAAATGATAAAAAAAAATTATTTTAATATTTTTTTTTGATAAAATTACTTATAAAGATGTACATTTAAACAATTATTAAATTAATTATTTGAGATAAAATTTTTTTCCGCGCCGCAATTGAAACATTTTTAAGATTTCCATTGGCTCCAATTTCGACGGGCAAAGTATCTTCAAAATACACGTACTTTTTGTCACCGAAATTGATACACCGAAACTGATAAAAATGCACCGCAATAGAAAATTACGGTTATTAAATTTATAAATGCTTTTTATTTTTTAAACTTATTTTAAAATTAATTTTCAACAAAATGAAAATTATTTCTAAACTAATATTTTTCTTGAAAAATGCAAAAGTAATTTTTTATTTTATCAAACCGAAAAACGTCTTGTAAAATGTACAAAACTTGATTTTATTCAAATTTTTCGGAAAAACTGAAATTTAAAATTTATTTATATTAAATTAAAAAAAAAATTTCTAATTTTCCTAATTCAGGCCTCGGATTGACATTAGAAAGAGAAAGAAATTGTTTTAGTCGATTTTCATTACAACAAAAAAAAAGTCGATATTTTTTATTTATTTTAACAATTAATAAATATTTCATTATTATTAACATTAATTATTAGAAATTAAATAAATTTTTTCTAATTCTATAACAAGAATGTTTCACAGGAACATTTCCATCAACTTTTTTTTTTAATCTTGAGAATTAAAATATTGACAAATTTTCAAGATTTCAATTTCAATTATTCGAATTCAAAATTTTGGCAAATGTTTTAAAAAATTAAATTTTTAAATAACTTGATTAAAATATTATTTAAAAAAATTAATTTATTCATTGAAATTGTTGTAAATTTTGAATTGCTGAAAATTATTGACAAAATTTTAAAAAGTAATTGAATTTTAAAGAATTATTTTTATTTCTCAGTTTAGGACTCGTGCATCCAAGTTGTGCAAGAATTGAGTTAAATTAAGCTCTAATTAATTAGTAAATAAATTAATTAGTACTAAGTAATTAATTAATTAATTATTAATTAATTAGAGGTTAATTTAATTTAATTCTTGCACAATTTAACTAAATTAATCATAATTTAACAATATCAATGACTTTTTTTACCATATTTCATAGATTAGCAGCAAAATTTAACTTTTAACAAAATTCGAACCGTTCAAAACTCGTTAACAAATTCAACATGGTTTTGTAAATTCTAAACTAGAAATTTCCTTTAAACTCTATAAAAAAGAGAAAGAGAGAGAGAGAGAGATTCATTTTCGAAACTCTGCACATCTTGTGACCATTTGGTATACCTTGCGTCGCAGGTATACCAGCTGCACAGATGGTATTTTTTTGAAAGTTTGTTCAAAACCCTAATAAAAATGAATGGTTCATAGACGAAAATAAAAAAATATACAATAAAGGAAAATTATAGAGAAACATAATGCTTGACATTTTATAGCCCAACTTACAAAGTTTACAGTCTGAAAATGTTACAAAAAAAATTATCGCGTAACTTCCAAATTGTTGTTATGATTTTTATGGTTTTTACATCTATATTGTGATTATTATAATAATTAATTATTATTACTATTATGATTATTAATATTATTTTAAAAAATATTTTATTTTCAATTTTTTCTTATATGAATAATTAAATATATATGGGATTATTTTTTTTAAATAAAAATATTTTTTATATAAACAAAAATTTAAAAAAAATGACATAATTTATTATATAATATCTAATATTATTTTTTGTATATCTGGTAATATGTGAAGAAATATTTGGATGGTAAAAAATAAATGCGCGCCATCTCTAGCGAACGAATGTGTACTAAAAGTTGACTTGAATGAAAGGAGTTAACTTGCTAACTACACCGCGATTGTGAGTGTGGAGTCACTGTGTCAGCTGTAGACACAAAAATTTCAAGGTCAAAAATTTCTCCATTATACTTTTTTTTGTATATTACAAATGGCAGAAAAAAGGCTCAATAACGTAGATATCGTTATCATTGATCGCAGCACGACAGTAAAAGAAGATATAAAATTTCAAAATAATAATAACAGGAACAGAGCAATACGAGAGGTTAGTTTTTCAATAATATTTATTAACACGCACATACCGTCTAAAGTCATAAATATGTGTTGAGTTTGAAAGAGAAAGAGAGAGTTTGTGTAAATAAAATCTTCAATTTTTTATGCATGCCAAGCAATAAGTCCGCTAGATCAATAACTTCGAAATCAATATTTCATAATTACAATTGATTTTTAATTACGTTAAATATTTCTAAGTTTCGTTCATTTATATTATTTTAGAATTATTACTTATATATAGGAAAATAATTGAAATATTATATAGTGAAGAAAATAAAAATAGTTTATGGTTTAAAATTATTCATATTTACATGTACAAAAAAAATACTAACTGAGGTATAAGCAAAACTTGCTAGGGTCTGTTTATATACATATTGACACAAAGTATTGTTTACTACTATATAGCCTTATCTTTGCCTATAATTTACAAAAGGGACGAATAAATATATTTCCTAAAACTTCGTACAGTTCGAATTTTCAACAACTGAAAATTTCTATTACATAATGTCCAATTTCTATTTATCCGAATGGGTCAAATTTTCATTAAGCCGAATTCACATATTGCAGTAAAATATTAATTTCACCGAATTTCAATTTTTATCCAAAATGCAACTTAATTTACAGTCAATTAAATGAATTTTTCTTTTTATAATAGAATATTTATATTTAATCAAATATTAAATTAATTAATTATTTATAATGTTGAACATTATTTTTTTATTTAATAAAAATTTTTATTGAATTAAATTCTTTATTACTCAATTTCAGAGTTAACAGAATTTTTGTGAAATAATCAATTTTTCATGAAAGAGAATTATTAATTAAATGAAAATTTAACTGAATAAAATTGTGCTAAATAAAAATTGTGACATCCAATTCAATTAAATGGGTATTTAACCAAAATGTCACAATTTTTATTTAGCACGATTTTAATTAATATTTATGCAATCGATTTTTTTTAAAGATAATTTTATAGATTTATAAATTTCAGTTTTTAAACAATTAGCTAAACAAAAATTGTGCTTAATAAAAATTCACTTAGTTAAATATTTGCATTTAACAGAATGCGGCTAAATAAAGATTTTTGGCAATTAAATTTATATTATATTAAAATTACACATAGAACAAAAAATATGGTTTAATAGACATTCTGTTAAATAAAAATTATTTTAATGATGAAAATTTTGATTATAAGAAAAATTTATTTGAATAAAAATTCGGCTAATTAAAAATTTGATTTATTAATAATTATGTCATTTAAAATAAATTCAGTCAAATATAGATGTACGGATTAAATATAGAAATTCAACAATTTTTTTTTATTCCAAGGCCAACGGTTTCTAAAAAGTTATACCCTTTTCTTTAATCTGGAGCCTCAATTTACTTCTTCTAAATTTTTCATTGTCGAAAAGAACTTCTAATAACTTTACTAAAGAAATTCTCAAAATTCTAATTCTCTTTAAAAATTTGTAGACTTAATCCAACAATTGTATCGGCAGGTATACATATATGCGACATATTCCCTTTTATACATGGAGAAAATTTGTTCCGGTCATTTTAATGAATTTTAACTGAAAGTTTTGGGATATAGTTGCACAAAAGGAATTTTTCAAAATATTTTTTTTATTTTTTGTAGTAATGACAGTTAAAACTTGATATGATATTTTAATTTATTACAAGCTAGTACTGTAAATATATGAAAAATTTGAATCATTAAACATTGGTTTATATTACGATAACTTATACGTAGGATTATGTTGACTATTAGTCTACGAGAAATTATAAAACAATATTTATTCAGTGAATTTCTCAAAAAGTTGGTTTTTTGAAACAATCGTTTATTAAGATTTAAAAGTAACCAAAAAAAAACCTGCGCTATTTATCACTTTTTGATGAATCTTTTATTTACAACATGTAGTCTTTCTCTTAACGGTCTACTAATTTTACAAATAAATCAAATTTAAAGCTACATGTAATTGTATGGAATTTTAGTTTGACGAATTAAACTATAGCCAGCTCTCCTGAGTATTTCCTTTCTGGGCACTACATAATTCAAGTCCAGTTCGGTAAAAATTTTAGGGAAAATAATTTATTTAACAAAATAATTTTTTTTTCATTAATTTGTTTCTATTTAAATCACAAATAAATTTTAAATAAAATTTTCATAAAAAATTAATTAATTACTTTAAAAAAATAAGTTTACTTCCTAATTTTGTCATATGTAGTCTTCAAATTAGTTATCATATTCAGAAATAATTGAATCTAAATTATTTTTTTTTTTCAATAAATTGTTTGAACGTTTCTTATAAGCGGTAAACTAAAATCCTGGTTAATATATAAGAACAGCTCAAACCTTCTGAAGCAATGTAAAGCGAGCATAGAGATATAAGAATAGAGTGCGCAAGCCTGTACAATTTCCATGTTACGCTGCGATAAACCAATAGAAGAAGACAGATTACTGTTACTGTAAACATGGAGTAATATGAAAATGTATGAAAAATAATATAATTATATTATAATATATACTATATTATAAATTTTTTTTATAAAAAATTATATATTTGGTAAAGTACTTCATGAACTCCAATAGGGTTTGTTAAATAAAATTTACTGCGCAGCCGTATGTGCCATAGAAAACTACTGCGCATAAATATTAATCAAATTTATTTATTAATAACATGCTATGTTTACAGTAACCTTACAGCAACCTTACTCTCTAAATCTGAATTAGTAGTTTTCTACTAATGAAAGAGTGAGGATTCGTTTACCAATTGAATTAGTAACAGTTTTGACTCTTTTTTAGTAAAAAAAAACTACTAATTGCTAGTAGAAAACTACTAATTCATGGAGTAAATCGTATTTTCTGCTATTTTAAATTAGTAAGTCGATTTACTCCATGAATTAGTAGTTTTCTACTAAAAAAGAGTCAAAACTGTTACTAATTCAATTGGTAAACTAATCCGCACTCTTTCATTAGTAGAAAACTACTAATTCAGATTTAGAGAGTACAGTAACCTTACGAGAAGCTTACAACAACCTTACCGTGTAAAATTACCACAACCTTACCATGTAAACTTACTGTGTAAGCTTACCTTAACTTTACTGTATAAGCTTACAGTAATGACAGAAGTTTTAAGATGACCTCAAGTTTAATATGTGTTATAATATTTTATGTCTTTTGCATTACAGTTTTATGAAATTCATTTTACTGTACTAATTCTTGAAAAATTACCGTTTTGCTGTTATATCCCAATTTTACCGAACTAAGTTCAGTAAAACTCTCGGAATAAATTTTCTCCGTGGTACATATATATTTATCAGATTTTACAAAAGCTGTAAATTTAGGACTATAAACCTAAATTGCTGCTATATAAATTTCAAAAGTTATATAATACATATAAAGTTTTTATGCTCTTTTGTTATTCACAGAAATCTTCGCACTATAGGGGCGTAGAAAAAATAACAATACAATAGACGAACAAAGTTTGTTAACTCATTAAAATAAAATTAAAGGGGACTTATTCATCCTACTTTCTTCTATACTAATAGCTTTATAATGTAACAGAGACTCTTATTTTCTACCCCTATATAAACACTGAGTTATACCATATATTATAGTGAAGATTTTGGAGATATTTAAAAAAAAATTCACAAATAGTAAAAGATTGTAAAATTTTATGTTTCTGAAATTGCCTATTCAATTTTTAAGGTTAGTTTGTATTTAACCACTATTGTTTGTTATGGCACATCTTCAAAATTATTCAAATAACTTCAATTTAAATCACGTTGAATGTTGGTTATATAATTTACAAAGAAAATCGAAAAAGACTGTATTAAGTATAGAACATGACAATTCTGATCAAAGAATGTTGCCTGCTAGATTTTTCTGATTTCGACCAATAAGGCAAGTAGAATTTCCCGCTAAATTTATTTTTAGGTTAGAACGTTTATTTACGCATTAACGCATATCAGTTTTTCGAGATATTCTAACCTAAAAGTTCAAAAAAGACGTTTTTTAAACCATATTTGAGGTTATGTAACATGAAGAAATAATTCTTTTTAAAAAGATCGTTACAACATCTGAAAATATACTATTTTTCCCCTTTAAAATGAATTTTAAATTTTTAAAATAATTTCATTTGATACCGACTAAAGTTTTTTTTTCCCCCGTTATTTTATGTTTGCAGTGTCGCAATAAAAAAATTGAGGATCAAGAAGATTTGAATACAGATGAAGAAAGTGAAAATCCACAAAGTGGTTACATAACATTAGACTATAAGAAAAAAATAGTTGCATTAGCTGATGGTCATCCAAATTGGAGTCTTGCAACACTGCAACGAAGGGGAGCGAATCGTTTGAAAAGCCTCAAAAAACTTGCATTATGGAGAAAAGAGATTGAAACTGGTGGCACAAGACTCGATAAATTACAAGCAATCAGCAAAGAAACATTCGATAGATTTCGAGAAGCGCGTCGAAATGGTCAACCAGTACGTACAACATTTTGAAAATTTTGCAACTAAAACATTCACATTTTTGAGAAAATTAAAATTAATTTTATAATTTTATTTATTTAAAACTTTATTTATTTTTTATTAGAGATTTTTTTGAAAATGTAAACTTTGTATATATAAACACACGGAACGGAATTTTTTAAAATGTGATTTTTTAATTTCTGAGGTCGAAAAGCGTAAAAATATATATCAAAAAATTGAATTTGAACAATTTTGGTATTACAATACTTCATCCATAATGAAGAAATTATTTTCAAATGCGATAAATTAAAAAAAATCCCACTATCAAATTATCAAATTTTGTAAAAAAATCATTTTTCCGGGAGGCATAAATTTTTTCACACTGCATTTGTTGGAATTTCTACGATGTCGAAATTAATAAGCTCGAATTTCTATGTTATCGAATTTTATAAAGAAGAATTTATTGAATTTAATTTTCATATTTAAGAATTTTTATTTAACTGAATTAATAATTAAAAGGAATTTTTATTTAATAGGATACTTTTATTAAACTGAATTTTCATTTAAAAAACTTATTTAAACAAATTTAAATTTAACAGAATTTTCAATTGACACAATTTTGATTGAAATGATTTTTTAAAATGACAGAATTTTTATTTGTAGGAATTGTAATTTGATAAAAATTTTGAAAACAATTTTCATTTGACCGAAATAGCAAATGGACGAACAAATATCCTACAGAAAAATTTTTTGGCGGGAATTTTAAAATTAATCACAATTTTCATGATTATTTCTGATTGGTTAATTTTAAAATTCGCGCCAAAAGTTTTCTGACGAACTCCTTTAAATATGAATTCAATTAAAAATTCTTAAATATTAAAATTCAATTCAATATAAATTCAACTTTATAAAATTCAGTAACATATAGAAATTTAAGATTATTAATTTCAAAACTATAGAAATTCTAACAAATTCAGCATGGGAAATATTTATGCTTCCCACTTTTCCCATGTATGGGAAAAACTATTTTTTTTTAGGAGAAAAATAAGGACTGTTTATTAATATTATCTATAATCGTAAAAAAGATAAAAATTCACATAGTAATTTTTTCTATTTGCACTCAAATTCCATAGACAAGAAAAATAATATCCCAAAAAAAAATTTTTTTTTCTTTTATTCCCTCATGTAAATATTTGGTTTCAGGTTACAACGAAAATACTGCAAAAATGGGCAGTGGAAGCGGCGGCTCCATTCTTATCGGAAACATTTAGATTCCAAGCAAGTCCACGTTGGGCTGATCATTTTAAACAAAAGCACAAAATACGACAAAGAAAGATAACGAATCATGGCAATAATAGTGATATGCTTACTTTAGAAGAAATTGAACAACCCGAGGAGACACAACCAAGAAAATACGTTCCTTCTTTTGATCCTTTTAATTTGTTATTCATTCCAAAGAGTTAACGATAAAAAAAATAATATATTTATATTTAGTCTTTAATTTCTTTCTTTTTTAAAATATTAATAGAATAATATTAATTACATAATTAATATATAATAATAGAATAAGATTTGTAAAAAAAATTTTGATATTTTAATAAATAAGAATTATTTATGAAACAATTGTCAAAATGTTTGCAAATTTAATTGAACCCCATTTCTTACAGCAGAAATTATAATACCTTCTTATATAACGTGAATGTAAAAAACCTAGCCTTTCCTAAGTGAAATTTTAGTTTTTTATGGATGTCAATTTATCTTTTGACATTATTGAGAAACTTTGGACCCGAGCAACGAAAACATGTTTCTAAGATAAATTTTAATTTTAATCAGCAGTCCGTTTTTTCACTATACATCAGGTTTTTGAGATAATTGCAATTTTAATTTTTTGTTACTTTAAAAAATTTGTTACTGAAATTCGAAATATATGACTTAGAAAAAAAAGGCGTAGCTTACTTAAAGATTTTTGGGGTTGCTAATTACGAATTTAAAGTCAGATTTTTAAAATTCAAAATAGTGGATCCAATATGGCGGACGAAGCTATTAAAAATCAAACAGATTTGCTTGAAACTTATTATTTTGAATTTGTAAAATTTAACTTCATATTCGTAATAAATATGGTATAAAAATATTTTTAAAAAATTTTAGCAATATAAAATACTTTTAAGTCCTAATTAATCGCAGAATTATAAGATAATTCTGCATTAAATTTGTAATTTTTGTTATTTTTTTCTATTTCCGGAGCAAAAGTTTCCAGAGAGTTTTACTTTGTAAATAGTAAAAGTTACTTTATATTTTTCTCCATCTATAGGTTTGTGTTAAATGGTTGGCACTTATACTTGTAAATTTATTACTACCCTAAAATTAATGAAGTATTGAAAAAAAATTTCTCACTTGGCCTTGTCTCACTAATTCCATTGTCCGAGAGTACTGTATTCAATCTCGTCCTTCCTCTTGCTTCAGTTTTAATTTTTCTTCTCGGCTGAATACTCACAATTTCTAATATAATGATAAAAAAAATGTATTATAAAACAAATGCAAAAAAATTACAAATTAATAAACACAAAATAAATAACAATTAAATAGTTAAACTTTTAAATAAATAGTTAATTTTTTTGTAATTGAAATGTGTTTTTGTACCAAAAGCCAAAAAACTTTGAGATTAATTGTTGTGATTTCACATATAAATATTCTCCGGAGGTTTTCTCGCAAAATCATTTTATAGATTAAGCTAAAATTTTGTCCAAAACTAAAAAATATAGTATATAAAAAATCATTGTCGTGTTGCCAAAATATATTAATATTTTGTCAAAAAAAATTATTCTTAAAAAATTGCATATTTGTTGAAAATGACTAAAATCGTATTGCCTCCATATAGAATATTTTCCTCAAATATGAAATTTTTTTCATAAAATGTTCATATACTCTGGCACATAAGAGAGTTTCTTTATACTATTTTTGAATACTCCACAAAAGTTTTGCTCAATCTATCAAATATTTTGCGAGAAAACCTTCAAAGAATATTTGCATGTGACACAAAAATAATCACATAACCTTAAGTTCTAAATAAATAATTTTGTTTTTTAATTTTTCTGCTATTTTTTAGCGAATATTTTCAGCTTTTCCGAGCTTCATTAGATACTTTCACAAATTTATCTACGTGATATAAAGCTTTTCCAAGCTTCATTTATTATTTAATAAATAATTAAAATAATATTACTTTGTATATAATAAAGCAAAAAATATACCCTAAGTTTTAATTTAAAATAATTCAGATTTTTAAGGCCTGGTCCAAGTGAGGCAGCGCCATCTACATTAAAATTAAAATTTTTGAAAATTTCCAACAGCCTTTTCTTGAAAACAAGAAGATAAAATGCTTTTTCCTTTATGGATAATTGATTATTAGCAAGAAATACAGCAGCTAAATTTTTTTTTGAATTAAAATGATGAAAAAAATTTCATGTCAATAAATTAAATATGAGCACTTTTTTCACAAAAACTGTAACAGTACTTTCTCAAAAATTATAATCAAAAATGCAATTTCCATTTGGAAAATTAATAAACGCTAAAAAATACACATTTAATTTATCGACATTAAATTTTTTTTCATCATTTTAACTTAAAAAAAGTTTTAGCTGGTGTATTTCTTGCTAATAATCAATTATCCATAAAGAAAAATGCATTTTACCTTCTTGTTTTCGAGAAAAGGCTGTTGGAAATTTTCCAAAATTATAGTTTTAATGTAGATGGCGCTGCCTCACTTGGACCTGGCCTTAAGTGTTCGATTCTATTATCACAAAAGTTAAAAGTTTCGTGGATTTGCCCTTATATAAATATTGGTAAAATGTATAATTAATTAATAAATACAATAAAAGATTTTTTTCGAAACTTAAAACAACTTTAAAAATTCCAAAATTTCAATTTTTTGTTAAAAATAAAAATAATAATCAATTTTATAATTATTGGTAAAATGTAAATTTTATATACATCAATCGATTCGTTTTGATGACAGGAATATAATTTTGATAAGAATTAATGAAAATTTCTGTATAGAAAAAAGTTATTTCAAAAAATACAAAAAAAACGATTTTTTCAAATAAATTCCAAAAAATGATTTAATCTATAAATTTTTTGTAAGATATGAACTTTATATATAGGTTAATCGATTCATTTTAATACAAGAAATAAGTTTTTTTTACCAAATAAAATTAAATTTACAATGAAAAAAATTTTTTGTTAAAAATAACTTTTTCAAATTTTGAAAAAATTGTATAAATAAAAATTTTTTTTTGAAATCGTTACGAATGCAAAGCTTTTCTATGAGGAAGAAAAAATGGTACCAGTCCAAAGCCTAGGGAATGTGTGATGGGAAAATGGTTTTATCAAATAAAGATTATTTGATTTTAAGGTTTTAAAAGTTACAAATTTCAGAGTAGAGAGAGAGAGAGAGAGAGAGAGAGAGAGAGAGAGAGAGAGAGAGAGAGAGAGAGTCAGCGGAGGGGTAACCAGCACCAGCCTGATCCACATACTCTCACTCTCATTTGAAATTTGTAACTTTTAAAACTTTTAAAATCAAATTATCGCTTTGTTTCATTAAACCATTTTCCCATCACACTTTCCCGAGGCTTTCGACTGGTATAGCATTTTTTAATTCCTCATGGCATTTTTAGGGAATCTAATTTATGGGGTGCTGGCGTATTTTAAAAATGTGTTGAATGCCAAAAAAATCTGATTAATTCTTAAATAATTTTTGACAACTCGAAAAATCTGTAATAAGTATTTAAATAATAAATGAAGCTCGGAAAAGCTTCACACAAAAAAATGCCAGTGTAATTTCACGTTGGAAAAAAGTGACCACGCGTCCCACGCAGTAAAAAAAACTGTCAGCAAGTTGGAAATTTAAAATAGCTGTAAAGGGACGTATGAATATAGGATTAATCCAAAATAATTATTTTAGTTCTTTTTTTTTATTTATTGAAATTCATAAAATATTGAAAGTGTTTTACATATTTAAAAAAGGATCAAAGGATATAGAATCGTTATAAAACATTAAAAAGTAGTTCTTCATCTGAACTTTTCTCTCGGCAATCAAAAACTCTACTGACTTGAGGCTTGCATCGAAAAAAGACACACGTGCATTCGCAGAACCGAAATCACGTCACTTTTGTCCACTCAGACTGTTTAGGATAATCGATATCTTTCATAAACACTTACGCGACTCTCGGGCGCCTTTTTTATAAACACATTTTTAAATCTTTAAGAACTCTTTTAATTTCGTTTCACTTTTATTAAAATTATTTAAACACTTTTTTTTTATTTACACTTTTTAACTTTCAAGATGAATATGTTCTAAAAATCATTAGTTAGTATTTTTATTTTATTGGAATTTCATTTGTCATAATTATTTTTGAGATAAATTTTTATTTATTCGAATTCATTATTTTGGAGAATTTTCATCAACCCGATTTTCTATATTACAAAATTTTTATATAAACGAAAATTCACTTCACAGAATTTTTATTTCATTACATAGAATTTTCATTTTCTTTCAGATGAATTTTCATTTGTTCGAATTATTATTTTGATAGAATTTTCATATAATCGATTTTTCATACTATAGAATTTATTTATACTTAACCGAAAAATAATTTAACAGAATTTCTAATTGATAGAATTTTCATATTTGTCCGAAATTTATTTATGTATTATAATATATCATAAAAAGTATGTTACATAAGAAAAGTACACTTATTTAACTGAAAGAGACAGAATAGATGAAAAAATAAAATAAAAAACAACTTTTAGATTATGTAGCCTTTTAATTTTCCGGCTTGTAAATTTACAAAACAGTTTTTTTACTGCATGGGACGCGTGGTCACTTTTTTTCAACGTCAGACATAGTAAAATTACACTGGCATTTTTTTTTGTATGTTTATAATTTATATCACAGATAAAGTTGTAAAAGTAATGAAGCTCGGAAAAGCTTTTTATCACAGATAAATTTTTTAAAAATTATTCAGCTCGGAAAATATTCTTAATAAGAATATTTTATACTTAAATTCAACGCACCACAAAAATTCCAAAAGATCGGAATATTCGTGCGTTTTATAATTTTTTTAAAAATTTATTTATTTTTATTAATGAATAAAAAAAGGAAGTTTAAAAACAAAAAATAAGACCTGCAGATGATCTGTAGCAAAGATCTTCATTGGTGGAATTAATTTTCAGGAAAAGTTGACGAAAGTACGACTGCCTCTCAGAACTTGTTGGTGGTCTAAGTTCATAAACCTCCCCTTGATGCTCATCAAACAGAGACGTAATCTTTCAAATCAAATATTAATTTTAGATGTTTATTATACATATTACAGATAAACTGAAACTGGGAAAAACATTTAGAAAACTTGAAAATTCCTTATCTTAATTCTTTATATGGGGCATTCCACGGGAGATTTTCATTCAAAATTGTTTTTTCCCCGAAACATTTTTTTCCAAATTTATATGAAAAATAAGGATAAGTATACGTATTTTTTTATTTGATAAAAATGAAGGAAGTTATGAAAGTGTCTCTTTTGAGAAAACTCACTTTTTGAGTTTAATTTAAACTTTTATGTTGCTTCTAATATAGGTACGTTATTTTTGAGCAGATATTTGAAAAATTTAAGAAAAAATGAACAAATTTCATATATAGCATAGTTTTTAATTTATTAGTACAATAGATTAAAAAATGCCCCAAAAACACACTTCCATCGTTGACATTAAATTTCAAAAAATCATAACTTCCTTCATTTTTATCAAATAAAAAAATAAAAAAATAAGTATATCCTTATTTTTCATATAGATTTCGAAAAAAAATGTTTCGGGGGAAAAAAAAATTTTCAATGAAAATCTCCCCCATATTCACTGAAGAAAATATTTATTTACTACAGAATAGAAAAATAGTGTAAATTAAATCGAAATCAATATTCATTTATAAAAATGTTAACTAAATAGACAGGCACACAAAAAAAGTGTTTTGGCCAAGACACTACATTACTGCATTCCCATGTATTTTTCGCTGTTGAATCCGAATTCGAAATCAGAATAGTCAAATTGACTCTTTTTTTTGAGTTATACTCGAAAAAGGACTCAAAAAAACTAATTAAAATCAAAAAAAAAATTTTATATCACTACAATAGTATATTCCCATGTATTTTTTTCCCGCTGAATCCTAATTCGAAGTCAGAAATATCCGATTGGCTCAAAATTTGGAGAAAACTCAATAATTTGCTAAAAAAACACGAATTAAAGTCAAAAAAGTCAATTTTTCCTGTTAAGCTAATTTAGTGTTTTCGCATACATTTCTTCCCACTGAATTCGAATTTGAATTTAGAATTGTCACATTGGATTAAAATTTTTGAAAATTTAAAAAACTGCTCGAAGAACGAATTAAAGTCAAAAGCGGAAAATTTTTGTACAATGACACTACGCTAGTGTATTGACTTATTTAAATTGTTTGTCAGTTGTATCAGAAGTAAATTTCTCTCAAGGATATCCAAAGCTTAAGATAGAAAAAAAACCCTAATAATACAAGAAATCTTGGGATATATTGATAATATCCCGCAGATATCCTAGGGATGTCCTATGGATATCAAAAGGATCTCTTAAGGATATCCAAAAAATCGGCGGTTTGGATATCCTTTGGATATCCCATGGATATCTGAGGATATCCACAGGATATCTTCTGGATATCTCTATAGACTATCATAAATGTCCTCCAGATATCCCATAGATATCGTCAGGATATCCCACAGATATTTTCAGGATATTCTCAGTATATCTTCTGGATGTCAAGAATATATTCTCAGGATACTGTTTTTAAAGTCATTATGAGACTACGAGTGAGAATATTCTGTGAATTAAATTTTATATAAATAAAATAAAATGCAACTTGTTCTACGAGAAAGTTGTTTAATTTGAAAAATTATTAACTAATTTTTTTCTCATTCGTGATTCATTCCTTTATTCATATATGCTTAATATTGTCAGAAAATAAATTGGCTTTAAACAAATATAAATTCTTCCCCGCAAATAACGAATAACTATTAATATTAATTATACATTAAGTGCATGAGTTTATTTAAAAACTTTGAAAAATGCGTTTCAAATCTTCATTTAAAATAAATTAGAAGCTCATAAGATTTTTGTTTTTATTATATTATTATTCATTATATTAGCTTAACAATTTTAACCTTTAAAAATATATGTTGAGATATTAAATATCCCGTGAATATCCTAAGAATATCCCACGGACATCCCGAGAATATCCCATGGATATCCTGCGATATAATATCCAATAGATATTTTGTGGATGTCTTAGGGATATCCTATGGATGTCCTGTTGATGTCCCACAGATCGGCGGTTTGGATATCCTAGGGATATCTTATGGATATCCCAAGATATCCTGGGGACCGTTCTAGGATATCGACCATTCATATGGATATCTTATGGATATCCTAGGGATATCCTTTTGTTATGAGGGAATAGTCTCATTTTTGTTGCATCTCAAAATAAATCCATGTTACATGACAGAGAATCTGTTTGGCACATTTTTGATGCGTATGAAATTGAATATGAATTTTATACTCATTTTGATACCAGGTTTTTTTAAAGAAGGCAAATTTAAAATCTCGATTCGAACTAAATAGGAAAATAACATCATTGTAATAGAATAAGGTTTCGACCAAAAAATTCTCTCTTACATTTGCATTTTTTAACATTTTTTGAGTTTTGCTTAAAATTTTAAGCTAATCTGACAATTGTGACTTTGAATTCAGATTCAGCGGGAAAAAATACTTGAGAATATACTATTGTAGTGACATAAATTTTTTTTGATTTTAAGTATTTTTTTTAGTTGTTTTTTGAGTATAAATCAAAAACAAAAGCCAATCTGACTATTCTGACTTCGGATTCGGATTCAGCAGCAAAAAATACATGGGAATACAGTAGTGTAGTGTCTCAGCTAAAACACTTTTTTTTGTGCCTGTGATATTTAAATATACCTAAACATTTAAAATAAAGAAAATCGGAGATATTTATGTAAAAATTATAAATTGAAAAAACATTTTAAAATTACGAAAAAAAAATTGAAAAAAATCGTTTTCTTAGTACAGAACCAAGCTTAAAATTTTTTTGGTTTTTTTTTTGAAAATTTTTCAACAAAAAACAAAGAATACAAACAATTTTAAAAATAAAATTTTAATCTATAAATTGCAAAAATTTAGTAAATTATAATTCGATAATTTTCTGTATGTAAAATTTTCAACAAATTCAATAATTAACAAGTAGGGGGTCCTTTATGTTTATTTCATAAACATTATGCTTCCTCATTGTGTGAAGCAAAAAATTCGCTTCCTCGTGAAGGAAGCAATGAATTTGTCCAATTCAATTGATTGATTTAAAAAATTTCGAGTTAAAAATGTTTTAAATTAATTAAATTTTTTGAAAAATGAAGAAACTTTTAATTAATTTTGAGTGTAACATAACCTTTATATATACGAATCGATTCGTTTTAATGCAAGGAATACAATTATTTTATTCATCAACTTGTATTTAAAAAAAAACACAAAATTTTTTAGCTAAAATATGAATTTTCGATTTTTCAATTTTTATTAATTCTCAAATTTTAAATCAAATCTATACTTTATATATACCAACCAATTCGTTTCAATGCAGGGAATAAAATTATTTCATATATAAACATGAATTTAAATAAACACATCATTTTTTAGCTAAAATGAGAATTTTTGATTTTTTAACTTTCTTTAATTCTTTAAATTTCAATCAAATCTATACTTTATATATATCAATCGATTCATCTTGACATAAAGAAGACGATTATATTATATATTACCTTAAATTTTTTGATTTAAAAATTTTTTCAATTAAAAAAAATTTTTTGGAAAAAAGACGATAAAAATTTTTTTTTGGGGTATTTTTAAAAATCCTCTCGTCATTTTTGAGAGATTAATGTGTTAAATAAGCCTACCAAATTTTATCCAAATCCATTAAAACCTGTTAAAGATATCGTGTTCACAAAAACGATCCACACACACATACACACACACACACACACACATACACACACACATACATACATCCGGACAATTGATCAGGATCTCATATAACATGTTTCTATATAGAGGAAAATTTGTTTTCACCATTTTTAAAAAGTTTATAAACGAAAGGACTACATAGCTTCCTCCACGAGGAAGCAAAACACACAAATTTAAGAAAAAATTTAAGAAAATGTTCTTAGTGTTTACAGGTATGTTAAAATGAAAAAAAAGTCATGTCCAAAGTTAAAAATAATTAATTGGTTTATGAAAAATCGTTATTTTTTATATAAAAATTGAAAACTTTTTTTTCATGTTAACATAAATGTCAAAAGTCGATAAAAAACCGAAACTTTTTTCACTTGGCAACATTTCTAAAATCAATACTTTTAGAGTTTTTAAAAATTAAGAAATTAGATTTTACTTTTTAAAAAACTCGAAAAACACCGATTTTTAAAAATTCATAACTCGAAAATTTGGACATTTATATAAAAAAAATAAGTATACCTTTTTTTCTGTAGAGAAGGAAAAAAAATATGTACTTAAATTTAAAATGTCAAGGTAAATTTCACGTGTAATCGCCCATATATAAAAAATGTAAAATATGTAAAAAAAATTAGAACACACCTCGGAGGGGAGATTCGAGTGTGAACAAGAGGCTGTGGTGACAATTAACATATGCACAGAACGATCTAAGCCACGTAAAAGAGACGTAAAAACAACTCTTGCTGCTTCGTCCACTAAATCCCACCAAGACATAATGTCAGGGACATACAATAATGATGGTAATGTGTGACGAGCTGTTTTAACTTTCTGGAACAAAAAATATTTATAATATTTATATTTTTTTTTACGAAAAGAATATAAAATAAATAAAAATGGAAAAATTAGTTATTCTAAATAAATATATTAAAAAGATAATTTTACATATATATTTAATAAAAATTATTTTTAAAAAATCTATAAACGATTACAAACGATAATTTGTTAATTAAGATTTAAAATAAAATTCTTTCAAATTCAAAGAAACAAAAAGTCTAAAATGAAAATTCGTTAAAGTAACAATTATGTAATATGAAAAATCGGTTAAAGTATTTCTTTTGATAGTTACAGGCATTCAGAAAATTAAATTATATTACCCTTCGAAAAATTAAAATGTTTTTTTAAATTATATATACTTTGAAAGAAAAAATGTCGAAAAATTTTTTAATTTAAAAATTTGTTTATTTACCCACATTTATAGGAAATTAAACTTTTTTTTTCATATTATTACACAAATTTTTAAAAGTGATGCAATTTTTGTTTACGATGTCTTATTTTCTACTTAAATAGATTATCTTTAATTTTATTGAAAACATTTTTGAAAAAATGCACCGTTTTTTAAATATGATTATTTGTTTAACAAAAAAGTGCATTATATTTAAAAAGAAATAATTATATTTTCAAAATGGTGCTTTTAACTTTTAAAACTTTTGTGTAATAGCGATACGAAAAAAAAAATTGATTGCCTAAAAATGTGTGTAAATAAAGAAATTTTTGGATTAAAAAAATCGACATTTTTTTTCATTTAAAGTATATAATTTAGAAAAATATTTTAATTCTTCAAAGGGAAATATAATTTTTTTCTAAATTCCTGTATCTATCAAGAGAAATATTTTAAATAGAATTTCTGTAATATTATAACTTGGAAAAATAAAAATTCAAAACTAAAAAAGTAAATTCTAGGCAATGAAATTTTGTCAAACAAAAATTGTAAAAAATTAATTTTAGAGCTTATTCATTCATATCGCTAATTTGAAAATCATTTTCTAAGTGAAATTTTTAATTTTCTTCCAAATGCATTTTTTAACAATTTAAAGTATAAAAACAAAATTCTAATTTTTAATTAAAAATTATTTATATTTATTAAAAATATACGAAAATTTTACATGCATATTTTTTTTTTATGAAAAAACACATCATTGTGGGGCATGATTAATTATTTGTTTTTAGATTATAAATTTTTAAACGTAAAACATTGTCAATTAACAAAGATCAACAAAAAAAGAAAATAAATAACTACAACAGTCTTTATGAATAGCGACGAACAAATAAATGTTGATAACGAATAATTTAAAAATATATTATCTTTTCTTTTGATTTTATGTATTTCTTATAGTTTTAATAGAAAATGTATTTTTCAATTTTCCACCTAAAATTAAACATTTAATTTAAATTATAAACAATAATAAAATTCTCATTTATTAGATTTCTTTTACTGCATCAATTATTATTAATCACGCCCCACGTTTTTTGGAAGTTCAAAAAAATAGGATTTCGTAAAATTCTCGTAGCTCAGAACAGAAATAAAAAATTAAAATAATAACGATTTTCTATATTTTAAATAAAATATTTAAACTCAAATTTCTTTAAATAATTAGTCACGCCCTAACTTACTCCATTATTCTTTTTTTTTTTAATCCTTATTATTATTTATTATTATTATTATTAAGTATTATAGTTATTACTTTATTTTTATTATTATTTATTATTATTATTATTAAATAATTAAAATAATAATTTGTTGTTATTAAAAAAATCAAAGAATTGGAATGTTAATTTTTTTTTTAAATGAATGTTAACTTGAATTATTGCTTCCTCAACGGCGCGTCCTGTTTCTTCGAAAAGTGTAGTGACGTCCAATATGTGACATGGCAAATGTTCCAATGTGTGTAAAAGTGCCGGTCCCAAGTGTCGGGTATGACTATTGTCCTCGCCACATAATAAAATTCTCGAACAGCTGGAAGACCTCGAAGTAGCTTTCCCTGTTCTAATATAGATGCATATAACAAAATTAAACATTGTTCTTTAAATAAAAATTTTTAAAAAAAAGTGTTAACAATTTTTAAAAATATTTTCAATTTTAAAATTATCTGCATTAGAAAAATAATGTATTGCATATAATAATAAACGAAAATGGTAACTAGAAACCAAAAAAATTATTTAAATCCATAACATTATTTTTTTTTGAAAGCCAATAAGAAAATCTAAATTCGAAAATAAAGATTGTTTCCTTTTTAAAAAAACACCAAAAATTTTTGTATCATCATCCTAGATATTTTAGACAGATAAGATCTTTTACAAAGATTACAAACTCATTTGTCAATAAAATAAATTAATCTAAAAAAAAATTTTTTTTTAATTTTTTCTTTTTAAAGAAAAGTTTCTCAGTTTTTTATGATATTAAAACTGAATTAATTTCAAATTAGGCAGGCTAAAATTTGTCGAAGCTGAAAATAAATGTTTTTCTCAAAATATTGTTTTTTAAAATTTCTTGGACATGTGTTTTTTTGTTTGACTGAAAAATTTTGTTCACGAAGTTAAAATGAATTTAATTTTCCAAGTAAAAATTATCATTTATCTTAAAATAAAGAAAACTTTTTTTATTTATCATTTTGACTAATAGGGGATATTTCAGTTTTTTTTTTTTTGACCTGAAAGAGCTTGAACACCTCTTTGAAAATTCGGTGGAAAAATTAAAAAACATTTTTAAAAAACCAAATGGCTCCCATTTTACTAAAAAATCTTTAAATTCAAATTACTCAAAAAACCCCACCTTATTTTTTGTTGAAATTTTTTTTGTAAATTGTCTTTATAATAAAGAATATTTTCCATAAGAATTTAACTTGTGTCTAATACTGGTAGAAGACAAAAAAAATTTTTTTTTTATATTTTCAAAGAAAAATTCCGATGCATGATTATTGCATAAAAATAATTGGTTAGAATTTTCAATTTAAATAATTTTATCAGATATGTAATTATTTTTCAAATGAATTTTGATTTTTTGTATTAGCCTAACATAATTTCTTTTTAGACGAATTTTTACTCGATAACATTTTTACCGAACTTTTATTCAGCAGAATTATTATTTCACAGAATTTCTTTTTATCTCACTTTTTATTTAAAACAAAAAAAAAATTTGTACGAATTTTTATTTGATATAATTCTTAAAACGGCGAAGCTTCATTTGTCCGAAATTGCAAATGACCGAATATACAGTCAACAGAAAGATTTCGACACTATTTCCAAAATTTACCAATCAGAAGTTATCAAGAAAATCATGACTTATAAAATTATAAAAACAGAGCTGATATCTTTTTGTCAATTATTTGTTTGACAATTTGAAATTTCGGATAAATAAAAATTAATCGTTTTAAAAATTCTGTCAATTAAAAATTTCTTAAAAATGAAAATTTTGACAAATTCAATTTCGGTGAATAATTGGAAATTGTTGCATTTAAAAATTCGAAGCACTTAAAATTCTATTAAATATAAGAATTCTGTTATAAATTAAAATTCGGTTAAATTAACATTCTTTTCAATAAAAAATTGTTTAAAGAGAAATTTTTTATAACAAAAATTCAAGCAAATAAAAATTTAGTACTTAAAAATTCTGTAAAGTAAAAATTCGTTTTAAAATGAATTTTGTCAAATGCTAATTCGTAAAATGAAAATTCATCAAAATAATAATTAAATGTAATAGAATTCTTTAAAATACATTTCGTCTAAAAAAAAATTTGAAAAACTTTTCCAAAGAAAAATTCATTTTCTGATATAAAATCAGTATTAATAAAATAACGTTTATAAATTAATGTTTTGAAGAATAAATTTCTTCAATTTTTTTTTTTGTGGATGTAATTGAAACCGGAAATTCCAATCTAAGAATCCTTATAAGCAGAGTCTTATCTTATCGCCTGAAATAAGAATTTTGTATTGTATTACATATTATCTGAAGTAAGCATTCCTGTTGGACACAGGATCTCGAGCCTCGTCATGATAATTGAGAACGATTCTTTCAGCAACGGTTGAATTCTACCAGATAAGGATTTTACTGGTGCCACTGCAATGCGATGTGACGCTGGAACAATGTTTTGTTGTGCTTTCAAAAAATCTTGCTTTTCTACCTTTTTTAAAAAATGAAAAAAAAATTTTTTTAATTCAAAATTTCTGTACAAAATTTTTTATTTTTTAAATGGACAAAAATATTGTTACTTTTTTTCGTAACGGTAACGCGTTACTATTTTTTAAAAAACTAGTTTTTTACTTTCTACCGTGACTATAACGCGTTACTTTTTTGAAACAACCACTGCCGTTACTTTCTGCCGTAACGGTAATGTGTTACTTTTTTAAATAAATTACAGTCTTTACTTTCTACCGTAACTATTTGTGTTCGAGGTGTTAAGAGACTAACATTGTTACCTCATTCGATAGCGGTAACGTTTTCTATTATATTTAATATACTAATTTTGTAACTTTTTTTCCGCAACGATAACACGATACTATTTTTTCAAAACAACTACTGCTTTTACTTTCTACCGTGACAGTAACGCGTTACTCTTTTTTGAAACAATTACTGTCATTAATATCTATTGTAACGATAACACGTTACTATTTTTTAAATAGACTAACATCGTTACTTCATATAGTGACGGTAACGTTTTCTCTTATTTTAAATCGACTATTATTGTACTTTTTTTTCCGCTACGGTAACGCATACCTATTTTTAGAAAACAAAATAACTACCTTCAGTGATCTTTCATTAATGTGATACTTTGATTTTGATGTATAAATCTGTGGATAATTTCTTCTAACGCAACACATAACCGACTCAGCACACAATGCTTGAAGATCACTTCCGCAATAGCCAATTGTTTTTGATGCCAAATAAGCGAGAAATTTTTGCGCTGGTTTTTGTTTCCAATTTTTCACATGAATCTGTAAAACATAGTTCTTCAAAAAAAAAAAAGAAAATTTGTATCGAAATAAAATATTCTCATTACATTGTAACCATCGAACATTATTTGTTTCATCCCCAGCGATTATTTGAATTTAAAATAAAATTATCGACTGTTGGTAAAATAAAAATCTACATTACCAATTGTGGATCATGTAGGAATCTACATTGCCAACGGTCGGTAAAACAGAAAACTGTTTTTACCAGCTTATTTTATTATTCGCTTTTTTAAAAAAGATTGTTTTGTCAAAGAAAACATTCTACCGCTAATATATCCTTTCTTGCATTATAACAAGGAAGTGGAAAATATAATTCTCTATCAAATCTTCCTGGACGTCGAAGTGCCGGATCAATTGCATCCAATCGATTTGTTGCGCCAATAACAATAATTTCCGAATTACTATCTAAACCGTCCATTAAGGCCAAAAGTGTTGAGACAATACTGACGTGAACAAAATCTTGACGACTTGATCTTATTGGCGCTAAACCATCGACTTCGTCAAAAAATATTATACATGGTTTCGATTGTTGGGCCTAAAAATTAAAATAAATTTTGTTTAAAAATTAAAAGAAAAGTTTTTATTTTGTTTTTTAATAAATTTTATAACTTTTGGCATTTTTATATATTTTATTATTATATACTAAACCATTAGAAAAATTTTCTGTAATTTTTTTTCACTTTCGCCAACCCATTTACTGAGGCAATCAGAACCCTTTCTCGATATAAATGACACTTTTCTCTCTGAATTACTACATTCAACTGCCAATGCACCAGCAACCAATGTTTTTCCTGTTCCTACGTAACTATATATTCTTAAGACATTTTTCATCACATACAAAAATATACAGGGTTATTTTTATATTCCGGATCCCCTAAAAAATTTTTTTAATCTCATTTTTTTTTTTAAACAAAAAAAAAGTGGAATTAGAAAATAAATTTTAGGGGGTCCGGAACATAAAAATCACCCTGTACCTCTATATTTTTATTTAATTAAATTTAATTTAATGGCAATTATTTATTTATTAAATATAATTAAATAAAAAATATATAAATAATAATTAATACATAAAAATGTGTAATAAATTATTAATTTTTGTCTAGATACCCCAACTTGAAACTTGTGTAAAAAGGTTTCTATTTGACAAAAAACTTATTATATATATAGTGATTTTTATTGGTTTTTTAGTAAGGAAAACAATAGGTTTATTGATTTTTTGATAAAATAGAAATAAGTTGAACAAAACTTCCAAGAACGAAAACGAAAAATTTGTCGAAATTTGAATTTTGCTGGGGTATCTAGACACCCCAATTACTCCTTCTAGGGTTAAAAATATATGGAATTCAAATAAATTAATTAATTGTGGAAAATTATTAAATGACGGAAAGTTGTAAATAAATAAATAAAACAAAAATAACGAATTAATTAAGTCGTATTTTTATACTTTAATAAAAATAAAAATATTAAATAATAATATCAATTATATTTTTTTGTACAATTTTTTAAATACTTTTTTTTATTTTATGGTAAATGATTAAAATAAACAATGAAAATAAATTGATGAAAAAAATAATTAAATACATTTAATTAAAAATAATTTTATAATTCAAAATAATATTTAAATAAAAAGAAAAATTAAATACTCAATTTTTTACTAACCGGGTGGACCGTAGAACAATAAACCACGTGGAGGTCGAAGATTAAATTTAGCATAAACTTCACCGTACATTAATGGAAAAAGAACCATTTCTTTGACAATTCTAATATGTTTATCAAGTCCTCCAATACATGAGAAATCCTTATTGTTTCCAGACATTATATGTGTATGTGCCAAATAAAAAATTTATAAAATTTAAATTGATGAATATCAACAAATTTTGTAAAAATGTCAAAAATTCAAAATTTCAACGTTGTTGATAAAAAATCATTTCGTTTATTGCACTTGAATTTTTTTTCTTTGTCTATAAATCAAACTGAAATTTTCACTAGACGAAATAATTAAAAAAAAAAAACAAAAATAATGGAAATTAAAAGATATTTTACACAAAAAAATTTCCCCTTTCTGACATTTCTCCCAACTAAAAAACTTTGCCATAAACAAAAAAAAAAAGACGAGAATGAGAAAACAAATGAAAAGCGTATTTTTAAAAATTATTTTCTTTTTTCGTTTAATATTTTTGAATTTAAATTTTTAAAAAATTTCATTTCATTTCATTTAAATTAAATTAATATAATTACAAATAAATAAATTTTTAAACAAAATAAAATTATAAATAAAATTGATTTCATCAAACTGTGAAAGATTCAATATTGTATAATTTTTAAAGAAAAGAAAAATTAATTTAATCCGAAATTTATTGTTAAAATAATAAATAATAATTAATTTTTTATGTGTGTTTTTAAATAATAATAATAAATCATCATTTTGCTTCCTCGTGGAGGAAGCTTTGTAGTCCTTTCGTTTATAAAACTTTTCAAAGTGGCGGAAACAAATTTTTTTCTTTATAGAAACATGTTATATGAGATCCTGATCAATTGTCCGGATGTATGTATGTGTGTGTGTGGATCCCTTTTTTGTTTAGAAGATAACTTTAACAGGTTTTAATGGATTTAGATAAAATTTGGTAGGCTCATTTATCATATCAATATCTCAAATCTGACCAAAGGATTTTGAAAAATACCCAAAAAAAAAAAATTTTATCGTCTTTTTTCCAAAAATTTTTAAATAGAAAAATTTAAGGTTATATATAATAAAATCGTTTTCCTTACGTCAAGACGAATCGATCGATATATATAAAGTATACATTTAAGGTAAATTTAAAGAATTAATGAAAGTTAAAAAATCAAAAATTCACATTTTGGCTATAAAATTTTGCTTTCTCCAAGAGGAAGCAAATTTTTTTGCTGATCGTAAAGAGGAAGCAAAATTTTCATGTAATAAACATCTGAATTTACAACTTGTTTATCCAATTTCTATAAACAATGGCTCATTTTTCTTTTTGAAAGATTCTCTAAAATTCTGTTTATTAAATTTTCTTAACAATAATATTTTGATTTCAACAGTTATTAAGCAATATTTATAAAAATTTATTAACTATAACTGAAAAAAGCACCCTATGTTTATTGTATATTAAATAGTTTTATCACAAAAAATTAGAATTAATAACTAAAACGCTTTGAAATAAAATAAAAATTCACTTCACAGACAAATTTGACTTTTTGAGAATTATAACCACCGCAAGTCTAAAAAACTACCCCTATATTCGACCCCTTTTACAATAAAATATTTTCGGTTACTTTTGCGTTATGTCACTATATGGACATCTGAGAAAAAATTTTAAATCTTATTTCTTTTAGTTTATATGCATACTCTATAAGGTTTTTGGGATTGCTGAATCCGAATTTGATTTCAGATTTTCAAAATTCAAAATGGCGGATCCAATGTGGACACCCAAATTTTTAAAAATTGACCAGATTCGTTTGAAACTTGTTACTCGGGAGGTTTTTGAGGTCGTTGAATCGAAATTTGATTTCAGATTTTCAAAATTCAAAATGGCGGATCCAATATAGACACTAAAATTTTTAAAGATTGACCAGATTCGTTTGAAACTTATTACTCGGGGGGTTTTTGAATTCGTCTAATCCAAATTTAATGTCAGATTCGCAAAATATCGAAATGACGCCTCTAATATGGCGACACAATATGGCAAAAATTTGTATTTTTATACTGCAATTACACCTAGAGAAAAAATTTATTAGTTTTGAATAAAAACGTATATTTCAATCATTTTTATTTATTTCAAATAAATATTTTATTTAAATTAAATAAATAAATGTTTGTTTGAAATTGTCGAATATGTTTCTTACAAATAAACAATTTTATTAGTACTTTTTAAAAAGGTACATTTGTGTCAAATAAATAATATATTTAATTGAAATAAAAGTTTATTCGAGTTCAACGCAAGCATGCGCAGAATACTGTATATGATATAACTTTAAAGATGTCGGACGTAGTGAAAACGAGGTGACAGATTAACGCGACCAAGCAGTTGTTTGTACAAGGATTGATTATTATTTGATTAAAACAAATACTAATTTCAGGATAATTAAAGAAATCTTTTTATTCGCGAGTGTTTATTAATTAAATTACACTTTCCTTTTATTTTGAGTGCCTTTCTCCCTGTTGTGTCTCAAATGTGAAGCAGAATTCAAATCAACTTATCATTGACATAGAGAAATGGAAATTGTTATGTTTCAACAATATCCACGGAACATACAAAAAAATAATCACGAAATGTAAAAATTTAAGATTTTCAATTTGAATCATAAATTTTAATTATATCAATTCCAGAATATTTGGCTGAATACCAGGCAATTTTGCAATTAAATATATTACATTCAAAACTTTTTATTTATTTGTCCTAAATATAAAATATATTTGTAGCAAATAAAAATTTATTTGTCTCAAATTTAAATATAAAAATTTATTTGAGACAAAGAAAACTTTAGTAGACTCTGAGACAAATATTCATTTTTATTTAAGTCAAATATATTTTATTTAATTCAAATAAAACATTTCTCTGGGTGTAGCCTACAGGTTAGTAGTTCTCAGGGTCCACCGCGCGGAGGTTACAGTACATTTCCAGACCTCTTTTTTGATTTTTTTGTTTTTTTATTATTTTTTTTGTTTTTTTAGATTTAAAAAAAATTTTATAGTTTTTTTTTAGTTTTTATATTTTTTTAATTCGAAAATTTGTTTTAGACATCTCCTTTTGGAGTGAAGTTTTTAGCATGAATCATTTTTCACGTAAGGTTTAGAATTACCCAAAAAACAGATACTCACAAGAAAACAATCACAAAACATAGACAAACACAAATTCATAAATAAGGACGAAAATTTACAAAAAAAAACTTAAATTTACAAAGCCAACCTGGGTAACTCATTGGGAATGAAATTTCTGGAAACAAAGATCAATGCAAAGGGGAATTTTGCATGTTTTGCAAACTATCCTGGTTCTAGTTTCTTTATTATTTGCACTGCACAATTGGCATCGCATTCTGCTATTTTCTTTGACAGGCATGTGTTTGTTTTCTTGCGTCCGAATGTTTTTTGTAATTTTCATTACCTTCGCATCGTAATGAATCAGGCGACCTCTTTTTTCCCGTGAAGAAAAGGTGCCAATCAATTGTTTTGCCAAATTGATACGAAAGTCAAGTTGATGAAGCGATTTTTTTTCCTGGTGAATTTTAAAAATTATGAACGAATTTATAATTGCGAGATCAATCAGAAAATAAAGAACTCAATGCCACCATTTCTTTGATCGCCTGCCTATGCCATATCGTTCTTTGAAATGATCAAATCGATCTACAGCTGCCATAAATTTATTATAAGCAGAGATTGCTTCACGACAAGGAACAGAAATTTTTGTGCCATCTTTATTCTTCCTAGTGACGAAGGTGACAGTAGTAGGATTATGCACTGTTGTCAGTATTGTAACTGGCTTAGAATCCATCCATTTAATAGCGCCAACACAACCTTTTGTCTGGTAAACGTATAGTCACCTCTAATCATTTTCTGTCCTCTTTTCCCCTTATTTACATTACTCTGCTTCAATATGTCTGGTAGACCTACACTATTAGTTCTCACTGTACCTACCGCAAAAATTTGTTTGGCCTTCAACTCTTTCATGAGATTGACAGACGTGAAGAATTTATCAAAGGCTACCAAGATTCCAGTGTTTCGTAAATGATCAGTTAACTGAATAACAACCCGTTCACCTAACGTATACCCTGAAGAAACACTCGAATCGGACTTTCCGGTATAAACCTCAAAAGACAAGACATAACCTGTCTGGGAAGCTGCCAGGCACCAAACTTTGTACCCTCTTTTTATGGGCTTCATTGGATTGTACTGTTTTAAAGTTGAACGACCTTTAAATAAAATCATAGATTCATCAACTGCCACAGTCATCGAGTTACGATAATGCTTCTTTATATTTTTATTGAGAACTTCAATAAGAGGCCTAACTTTATAAAGCTTATCATAATTAATGTTTCCTCTAGGCAGCATAGTATCATTAGAGTTTAGATGAATTGATGCAGTTATCTGTTTGAAACGGTCACGCGTCATGACATTAGATATTGCCTCAACTCTTAAAACTGAATCTGAACTCCAATAATCTCGAAGTCTTGGAAGTTGATGAATTCCCATGAGAATATGCATACCAATCCAAGCCTGCAATTCCTTAGCACAAATATCTGTCCAGATCGTTTCTGTACCACTTGTGGATGTGCTAGCATTTGAACACGGAAGAGTCGAAAATTTTTTTTTGGCATATGAATTTGTCTCAGAGATAATGAAATCTAAAACTTCTTTAGTAAACAGGTGGGAAAAATAATCAATTTCTTCATGATTTCTATTAATTTTCAATTTTACTTCTGGATCACCATCGAAATTTATATTCAGTGCATTAAAATAACTTGTATCCTCTAACCAATTCTCATTTTGTTCTAAAGATTCATCGCAACTTTCGGGTTCAGAATGAGAATCTGAATCAGAATTTGAACCTGAGTCGATTTCGCCACAGGGTTCTGATTCATCGTCATTCTCATCTGACGAATCACTGTCCCCGTCAACGTCAGAATTTTCGGGATTGACAGGTAGAGCAAAGTTTTGTTCGTTACTTTTATTCGAACGAAGTGAATATGTTTGTTTTTTTCTATTCATAATGATGTACAGTTATTATGGATAAACTTTTTGAGCGCGCAGTATTCGTAAGCGTCTAGTGATGAAATGCTTTATTATGTTCCCATAATCTATAAGCTCATTCAAAAGCACAATGAAGTACGTTAGTCCTCAATCGAGCTGCAAGCTCTCACTAAAGAGCTGTAGGATTGGGAGTTAAGTAGTAGTGGAAAGATCAACATGCGCATGCGCCTCGTGCACGATGCGCCATATTAGATCCGCAGTTTTATATTTTTAAAAGCTGACACCAAATTCGTAAAAAGTGACGCTAAGACCCACACAGTAAAATTTTTAAGACCTTAGATCAGCATTTCTATTTTTTTGCCCGCCATATTAAATACGCCATTTTCAATTTTAGAAAACTAACATTGGATTCGTGATCAGCGAAAAAACCACGAGTAGTCACTTTCATGAGCATAGCTTAACTTTTTGAATTTTTGTCCGACATATTGGATCCACCATTTTGCTTTTTTTAAAACTAACACGGGATTTGTAATCAGCAACCCCAAAAGCCGCAAAGTGGACAGTTTCATGAGCATAGCTTAACTTTTTGAATTTAGGATCCGCCATTTTGAATTTTGAAAAACTGACACCGGATTAGTTATCAGCGACCCCAAAAACCCCCGAGTGACGAGTTTGAAGCGAATTCGATGAATTTTATAAATCGTCGTCCGCCATATTGGATCCGCCATTTTGAATTTTTTAAAACTGACACCGGATTCGTAATCAGCGACCCAAATGACCGTTGACTGCATAGGATGTTGAGTATTTCATTACTGTAAATAATTGAGGCCTTAAAGGGTATAGGTAATTAAAAATAGAAACTGAAATCCTAAAACACTTAGGTTCCATAATTTCATTTAAACGAGGTATTAAAAAAATTCGACTTCATCCCGTACATTTCTTATAGTTATGTTAGTATGTGCACTGATTCATCGCCATTTTGGATTTCTCCCCACCCAACTTAAACAATCTAATTGTCACATACGAGAAAAAGCGCTATAATTTAAAAAGGATAAGCTTTTTTTGAAAGATCTGTTTTCTACACCCAGAGAAAAAATTTATTAGTTTTGAATAAAAACGTATATTTAAATCATTTTTATTTATTTCAAATAAATATTTTATTTAAATTAAATAAATAAATGTTTGTTTGAAATTGTCGTATATGTTTCTTACAAATAAACAATTTTATTAGTACCTTTTAAAAAGGTACATTTGTGGTGTTTATTAATTAATTCACACTTTCCTTTTATTTTGAGTGCCTTTCTCCCTGTTGTGTCTCAAATGTGAAGCAGAATTCAAATCAACTTATCATTGACATGGAGAAATGGAAATTTTTATGTTTCAACAATATCCACGGAACATAAAAAAAAATAACCACGAAATGTAAGATTTTCAATTTGAATCATAAATTTTAATTATAACAATTCCAGAATATTTGGCTGAATACCAGGCAATTTTGCAATTAAATATATTACATTCAAAACTTTTTATTTATTTGATACACAGCCCCACAAAAAAAAGTGTCGTGCGCGGCAGACCAGACTAGTCATTTCCTATGTATTTTGACGCGCTGAACACGAATCCGAAGTCCGTTTTGCTCCATCACGTCAGGATTTTTTTCTAACCTCCAAAAACCTGTCGGATTTTGAGAGGTAGGCTATTTTTTTTTAAATTGATGGATTTACTTCAAACTTGGTATCTAGGGGTTTTTTGGGTCGCTGATGACGAATTTGAAGTTAGATTTTCAAAATTCAAAATGGCGGCTCCAATATGGCGGACGAATTTTGTAAAAATTGATGGATTTACTTCAAACTTTGTATCTAGGGGTTTTTTGGGTCGCTGATTACGAATCTAAAGTTAGATTTTCAAAATTTAAAATAGCAGCTCCAATATGGCGGACGATATCGACCCTTCAAAGGTGATAATTCCGCCCTTACACACGAAACTAGGAGCAATTAAACAGTTTGTCAAAGCCTTAGATAAAAAAGGAAACTGTTTCAAATACCTGGAACAAAAGTTTCCAGAAATCTCTGATGCGAAACTACAAGAAGGGGTTTTCGACGGACCACGTATTCGCAAATTGTTAAAAGATGAGCAGTTTATCACCAAGATGAATAAAAAGGAGAAAGCCGCATGGCTTAGTTTTAAAGCAGTTGTCGAAAATTTTCTGGGTAATCACAAGAGTGAAAATTGGGAGCAAATAGTCAGTGATATGATTAAAAACTTTAGTAAGTTAGGATGCTTAATGAGCATAAAGTTGCATTACTTAGACTCGCATCGGGATCAATTCCCTGAAAATTTGGGAGATTACAGTGAAGAACAAGGAGAACGATTCCATCAAGATCTGAAAGAAATTGAGCGTCGTTATCAAGGAAGATGGGATGTAAATATGATGGCCGACTACTGTTGGATGCTGAAAAGGGATATTGTACCTGGAGGCACCAATTTGAAAAGAAACCCATTACACAGATCCTTTGAGGACAAAAGAGTGCGCTACCATAATAAGACGTGAATACCTTACTTATGTATATAAGAATTTCCATTTCTAGTTTTGAAAATCTAACTTCAGATTCGTAATCAGCGACCCAAAAAACCCCTAGATACCAAGTTTGAAGTAAATCCATCAATTTTTACAAAATTCGTCCGCCATATTGGAGCTGCTATTTTAAATTTTGAAAATCTAACTTTAGATTCGTAATCAGCCCAGTCGAAAATCGTAAGTTTCCCTGAAGGGTTCACATGGCCTTCAGGTAACTGTTATGAAGGTTTCAAAAGCTTCATGGCAACTATTTATACATTAGACCTAAAATTCTGTGATATTTGCTTTCTGACTTCTTAACGGGAAGCTTTTTCTACAGCTTGTTGAATATCTGTGGACAGCTTCTAGCAAAAGGTCTACCAGTTTGCTTGGTGAATGCTTTCCTAATGCCTGGTTTAATGTGTAAGAAAGCAATTCTATTTGCTTTTCACAAGTTGCAAATTAATATGTAATTTAATTACCTTTTTTACTCTTCCTGAAAACTAGAATAATTTCATTAAATTAAACTAAATCGAAAAATCATAAAAATTCTATAGTAATTTGTAAATCCGTTTTATACAATTAATAATTATTCTTTATATATTATATAAAAATTATTTTTCAAAGAAAACGTTTATTTTTAAACACTTAAATTATATACGAAAAAAATTATATATAACTTGAGCAAAATTTGGGGTTAGGAATACGAACACGGTAAAAACCTTTTATATTGAATAATGAATACAATTTCTTAAAAAAAAGACAAAATATTTAATATTTAAAAAAAAAGATTATTATTTTTATACTTGATATTTATGAATATTTTTTATAAATAATATATTCTTTATTCTTTTAGAATTTCATAATTTATGAAAATGAATTTAACAGCGTATTTTTATTTACAAATTTTGGTTGACAACAATGTACTAAAAGTTAAAAATTTACAAAATATTTTAATTATTTATTAAAATATTTAAATATAATAATCTAATACATAATATTTTTACGAGATAAATAAAGATGGAAAGAAAGGTTAAATTTAATTTTTCATCATTGTCATTTTTCCGCTGTTTCCTGAAACATCCATGACGCTTCATTTAATTTTCGCCACCTGAACGCTTTCTTTTTATATATGCAAAATCCTGCAACTCTTTGATAACTCTCTCAAAGCTACTTGAATGCTTTGTTTAAAACGTACAAAATTTGTTATTTTCAAGCTTTCCGTGGAAGCGAAAAATCGGCCATAACAGGCTTCCTGAAAGTTTTCTATAGCTAGTTATCTACTGTCTCACAATTCTCTAATGGTTATTTCAATACTTCAAAACAACTTTTTGTTCAGCTTAACGTAGCGTAGGATTTTCGACTGGGAGCGACCCAAAAAACCCCTAGATACAAAGTTTGAAGTAAATCCATCAATTTTTACAAAATTCGTCCGCCATATTGGAGCCGCCATTTTGAATTTTGAAAATCTAACTTCAAATTCGTCATCAGCGACCCAAAAAACCCCTAGATACCAAGTTTGAAGTAAATCCATCAATTTTTAAAAAAAATAGCCTACCTCTCAAAATCCGACAGGTTTTTGGAGGTTAGAAAAAATCCTGACGTGATGGAGCAAAACGGACTTCGGATTCGTGTTCAGCGCGTCAAAATACATAGGAAATGACTAGTCTGGTCTGCCGCGCAAGACACTTTTTTTTGTGGGGCTGTGTTATAAAATATATTTGTATCAAATAAAAATTTATTTGTCTCAAATTTAAATATAAAAATTTATTTGAGACTATGAAAACTTTAGTAGGCTCTGAGACAAATATCCATTTTTATTTAAGTCAAATATATTTTATTTAATTCAAATAAAACATTTCTCTGGGTGTATAGTGTAAATTAAACACTACATGCCAGATAGCACCGAATTTTGCAGGAAGTTAACAGGAAGTTAACGACCATAAGTTCGGAAGTTAACACTGTTATCTTCCCAAAAGTTTTAAATGTCCTCAGAGTTTAAGTTTAACACTGTTAACTTGCTGGAATTTGTAAAGCTAAATTTGCAGAAAGTTTTTTTAGTAAGTTAGCATAAATTTTGCAAGAAGTTTTTTCTGATAAATTCAAAATTAATAAAAAATATTCTTTTTTCAAGATGTGTGTATTTTAGTACATCCATATAGCTTGTCTATGTAGGGAAATGTGATTAAAAAGTATTGCGCCGCCCTAGCTGTCATAGAAAACATCTGCGCATGAAAATAGATTTTTAAGTTTACCTTAAAAATTTTGTGTAAAATTACAAAGCAAAACTTTCAGCAAATTTACTTTTCTAACTTTCAACAAGTTAACAATGTTAACTTAAACTCTGAGGACATTTAAAACTTCTGGGAAGTTAACAACGATAACTTCCAAACTTATCGCCGTTAACTTCCTGTTAACTTTCTGTAAAGTCCGGTACTATCTGGGATTGTACAATTCTACA